ATTAGATTTCATTCTCCTCTAAGCTAATATTCCGGAAATCAAAGCAGCCCTCTGGACCACATACACCTGGACGTACTGAAGGAAAGTACTGCTTGCAAATAAACACTAGTCAGTTTTCAGGGGTAATCGAGGGATGCGGAGATTTAGTTTCTGCAAGCGAAGGCAGCCAAGTGAGCCGACATGTGTCGCATGCTCCGGCAGGCAGAGGCCAGCAAGCACTGCACGTCCAGGGAATTAGGCAGATGGCAGAGAGGAGCAGTGTTGAGCGTGGCCGTTTTTGTCTGAATGCCACTGCACCTGAGCTCAAGATGCTGCATTTGCAGATCAGTGTCAGTTGTGGGCGATCCCCGTTCTGGCTGCTCCCCCACTGCCTCCCTGGGCACCCACGTCAATGATGCCACTGACCTCGTGCCCGCCCCTCTCTTGCCCAGGCCCTCCGCAACCTATCGAGTAGGTGCTGCAGCCTCTGGTACATTTTTCACTCTTAAAAAATTCTTTTCTTTCAGAGGCCCCGGTGCCGGGACGTTACATTTCATGTCGTCGTTGCCATTGTGTGGATTTCGATGGAAGCACGCAGCTAGCTCTCCAAGGATTGAACCTGTGTTTTATCCGGTGGTGCCACGGCAGGGCGAGAAGACCCAGGGGACTTGGGGGGGGGTCCTACAGATCCAGGTTTGAAGCCTGGTTTTGCCACCCACCGACTCTGGGCAAACCACCGACCCCCTCTGGATCTCATTTCCTCACCTGAGGCATTTCCTCATCGGTAAAATGGCAGCACTCTATAGGGTTGTGAGGCTTCAGGGAGGCTGTGAGCCTCCAGTGACATGTTTGACCCACAGCGGGAAATGTAACAAGTGACAGTTAAAACAAAACAAGTCGTGAGGTGTAAAGCGGTGGGGCACACTTAATCTGCGATGAACCTGAAATCCTCCAGATGAAATTGACCGGATCGGTGCACATATTTTTTCACTACATTCCAAAATTTAAATTGCAAGCATACACGATATGGTAGGCTCATCTCTGGTTCAAGTGTGTTCGGGTCTCCCATGTGCCGAAAAGGAAGTATTTTGCTTTTGCTGACTCCTCAAGCTCTGGTCCTCACCCTTCCCTTCTCTGTTCCAGCACATTTGTTGAAGGACCGAGCCTCCCCTGTAATAGGCTCTTCCTCCTTGCATGTACAGCAGGCTTTCTGTTTCTGTAGTTCTCCCGAAAAGTCTCTCCAGAGTTTAGAAAGTTCCCAGTGTGCTGACACTGCACGGACAGCATATAGCCTTGTCAACTCTGCAGCTTCCCTGTCTGTTGGACACCGCTTCCTCTAACACAGCGGTTCTGAATCTTGGCTGCACAGTAGAATCACCCCGCGGTGGGGGGGGGGCATTAAAAATTATTTACGTCTGGATCTCAGCCCCAGAGGTTCTTATGTAATGGTCTGGGGTCCAGCCCGGGCGCCGGGATCTTTCAAAGCTCCCTTGTCGATGATTAAGGTGCAGGTAAGGTTGAGAACCACAGCTAAGACTCTCCTTCTCCTTTATTTATATAATATTGCAAAGCTCTCTTTCCCCCCTGCTTGCCAGACACTTCCTCTGAGTCTCTTTCAGGGTCTCTTTCGAATCCTGTTTACAATGCAGTCTTTTGAGTAAGGCAATTTATAGCTGGAATTGTTGCTATAGTGTTGCTAAAGGAAACCTGCAATTCCTGGTTAGTCAGAAAACTATCTCTGAAAGAGATAGGGAAGGAAGGAAGGAAGGAAGGAAGGGGAGGGAGGAAGGGGAGGGAGGGCAGGAGGAAAGGAGGGAGGGAGGGAAGGAGGGAGGGAGGAAGGAAAGAAGGAAGGAAGGAAGGAAAGAAGGAGAGGGAGGGCAGGAGGAAAGGAGGGAGGAAGGAAGGAAGGAAGGAAGGAAGGAAGGAAGGAAGGAAGGAAGGGAAAATCTTATACTTTATGATCCAAACAACTTAATAACCCTGTATATCTAATGCTTTTTCTTCTATTGCATTTCAACAGAGATACCAGGAATATTAATCTTAGCTCTGATCGATTGAGTACCATATTATATCCTCACAGAAACCTTGATGAGAAAGATACTATTTTCCTCATTTTTTACAGCAGGGAAATGGCCACGGGAAGAGTTAGTTGCCCCAGAACACAAGCCTAGAAAATGATAGAGCTGCTATTTTAACTCAGATCAAATCCTCTATGGATTAAGAATCCTAAGTAATTGATGCCCAGTCTTGAAGAACTGCTTCAGACATCCTTCCTGAGGGAGATATTCAAATACCTGAAATCAGTCTTGTGCCTCCTGCCGGTTTGCCCTTCTGCAGGGTGGGGACCCCACAATCCTTCTCTGTGTTCTTTGTTTTTCACACTCCTCTTCCGGTCACCCAAGCCACCTGTCTTCAGCTTGGCAATGGCCCTGTTGACACGTGTGTCCAGAATCTAATAGAGCAGTGATAGTCTCAGACACTGATCCGTTTGGGAGAATGGCCAGGCCGCTAACAACACAGAAAGTTCATTGATGATGGTTCGTCTTCTTTCTTTCTTTCTTTCTTTCTTCTTTCTTTCTTTCTTTCTTTCTTCTTTCTTTCTAATGTTTATTTATTTTTGACAGAGAGAGAGAGAGAGAGGGAGAGAGCATGAGTGGGGGAGGGGCAGAGAGAGAGAGACACAGAATCCAAAGCAGGCTCCAGGCTCTGAGCTGTCAGCACAGAGCCCGACGCGGGGCTCGAACTCACAAAATGTGAGATCAGGACCTGAGCCGAAGTCGGGCGCTCAACCGACTGAGCCACCCAGGCTCCCCTGATGGTTCGTTTTCTATGTTCCGCAGAACATGTTGGAAATGAAGGACTAGGTTTTCAGTGGGAGGGAGCGGCCTGAGGTGGAGACAGGGTCTCTCTGCAGATCTCAGAGGGAAGGTAACGGTGAGAGGAAAGAGCACAGGATCAGAAAGATGAGGAAAATGAGTGTTTTTCAGGGGAATGTTGGAAGGACTCAGAGAAACCTTTCTCTTTCTTCCTCCTCCTTTCTCCCCTCCCTGCTTTCTCTGATCCTTTTCTCCCCAAACCACCCAGATGTCCTTTGAACCTGCACTTGGCAAGCTTTCTGATTCACCACAGATTGCACATTCCCTCCAGCAACACCATAGCCGCAACCTCAACTACCCATTGCCTTAAGGATAAGATTTTCATGTGTTACCGCACAAAACAACATTTAAATAGGATGTGAGTGAGATTTTAACACAACACAGCTGTGGAGAGCCAGTCCTGAGAAGTGAGCTGACATGTGGGGAAAGACAGTTTTTCCAAGGCCCGACGGGCTCAGGGCAACGGAAAGGGAGGTGGCCCCGTTTCTGCAGTCCGCACCCTGAGCACACCAGAGAACGCACGAGTTGCTCGAAGTCTGGAAAGATTGGGTTCGGCTGCCAGGAGGTGAAATTTCACGTTCAATCACAGTCCAGATCGGTCCTTGTGGTTCACACATTTTGTCCCTCCTTCCTCTCATGGCTTTGATTTTCTATTTCCACGTAAACCGCTTCATTCGCCCTTCTCTTTGAACGTGCCTCAAATCCTCTGTGTGTGGGGGGGGGTGCACTGACATTTATGGGGTTTCTGTTGTTTAGCAGGCACTGGGCTAGGCACCCTGGTTATGGAGGGCGCACACACAAACATGGAATGTAGGCTCGAAGGGGATGTGTGAAGAAGAGGGCGAGGAGAAAATGGGGTGACGATGGGATTTTGGAGAAGGTGACGGCCGCAGCGAAAGATGGCAAGAAAAGCAGAAGGGAGAAATAGGCAGAGAACGGGGAAGGGGAAGGAGGTTGGGAAAGGGAGAAAAGAGAGACAGTGTGGTCTGAAAGAAGTGTGCGATGGAAAGGCAGCTGGCCGGGTGAGGCGGGCAGGCGGGTGGGGGCCAGAGGGTGTGGGCTGGCAATGAACAAAATGGCAGGAGGGGTGCAGTGTCCATGGAAAGGGTTTGGGGTGTTAGGGCCTTAATGATGTCTGCCGCCATTCATATGTTGAAGCCCTCACCTTCAATGTGACTGTACCTGGAGACAAGACCTTTAGGGAGGTAATTAAGGTAAAGAAGGTTATGGAGGTGGGCGCCTAATCCAGTAGGACTGGTGTCCTTATAAGAGGGGGAGACACAGATCTCTCTCTCTCTGTCATGTGAGGACGCAGCAAGAAAGCTGGTGTCTGTGAGGCAGAAAGAGGGTTTTTGCTAGAAACCAGCCCTGCTGGGACCTGGCTCTTGGACTTCCAGCCTCCAGAACTATGAGAAGAGAGATTTCTGTTGTCCAAGTCCCCAGCCTGTGGCATCATTCTGTTACAGTGGCCCAAGTGCACGAATACAAGGGGTAGGAGATTGGCGGTTACCAAAAGAGTCCAGGAGAATTAGCATTCACCTCAACCTGCCCACTTCTGGGGTGACCTGTGTTTTACACTTCCTCCTCTGATCCAAGAGACATAAGGGTCCAAGCTTTGTTGGCCAGGGGATTATATGCTCATGCACGGAGGTGTCACCGCTAACCGATGGGGAGGCTTTGGTCTCATTTGTAAGAAATGGTAAGCAGTATCAGCCTTATTAGGGATGCAGAAAGGATTCCAGAAAGCCCTACCACACAAGCACCTTCTGGGCAGCAGGTGCCCTCGTTTAAGTATTGCCGTGAGTGTTGTGCATGTCTGTGTACATGTTTAGGAAATTTCTTGGAAGAGCGAAGGCTCTTGAGATTTCCCACACAACAAGAAAATGGGAACTTTGTTTCTGTCTCTAGATTATAGTGAGTTGCACCATATGAAATTGCCATTTCTAAGGGTCAAAAACCTAGCAGGTGTGTGTTTGTTTGTTTTTTAAATGTTTATTTTTGAGAGAAAGAGAGTGAGAGAGAGAGTGTGATCAGGGGAAGGCAGAGAGAGAGGCAGACACAGAATCCGAGGCAGGTTCCAGGCTCTGAGCTGTCAGTACAGAGCCCGACGCGGGGCTCGAACTCACGAACCGTGAGATCACGATCTGAGCTGAAGTCTGATGCTTAACCGACCGAGCCACCCAGGCGCCTCCGGCAAGTGTTTCTCAAAAAGGAACATCTCACATATAAATCCAAATGTATGGATTTTCTTGAAAAATCTGAAGATCTGACACCGTGAGGCCACGTTGGCCCACGGACACAGCCCACTAGAGTGGGGGGTGTCTGCCCACTTCAGGGGGAGCATGATGTCCTAGGTCGCCAGGGTCTCTGCCACACCCTTATTCATTCATGCACACTTCCCGTGAGGCCCAATAGGTAGCTGTAGCCCTTGGCTTAATGTATTGATTCGAGCTCTGCTAAGGTATTGCTGAGAACACTGAGAAGCAGGTGTAGTTTCTTTCGGAGGCAAAAGTGTTCGAGCAACAATGTAGAACCAGGTGAGCCAATGGTGAGCACAGACCATCACAAGCCACACACCCGGGGACTCGACTGGTCACATCAAGCCCAAGAGAGCCAATCTGGATTTTATTTGTCACTCTGTTTTGACAGCATCATGGCAACGCTTTCGTCCGGCTGAAGTCCTTTCCCTTGACACCTTTCATTCACATACAAGTCTATTTACTGAGTTGGGGGTGTGCATTAGTTTCTCTTGCTTGCACTTTTGTTTTAATTCCCTATTAGTTGTCAGTTTGTCCGGTGAGAAGAAGTTCCAGAAGACAAGGAGGACGAGGGAAAGATTGACTGGCTGGCCAGAAATACCAGGCGCCTAACGGTAACAAAAATTTGCATTGCCTTCCAGCATGTGTACCTTTTCTAACATCTCACTAGAATATTTCCAGTGAGTCCAGTGGGATAGGAATATATTATTCCCATCTTCCACGATGAACAAACAGAGGCTCAGAGTTCAAATCACTTGTGCAACCAGGAAGGCTTAGGGCTAAAAATGGCACACAGAGATCATAGTTCCTGATTCTTCATTTTTTTTCTAGTTAACCGTGAAGAGAAGCAAGACCATAACACGGGTCAAAATAGCCCTTGCGACAAGTAAGTGTAAAAACTAATCTGAGCGTTTTAGATGGTCTTTTTATGAGATGGGTTCACTAGCAAAGCTGATGCAAAATTTAGCATTGAGGAAAACAGAGTGTTTAAATCAGAGAGCATAAATTAGTCTCCCTGCAACTGGGGCTGTCAGGCAATATGCAGAGTAGTAGTTGGACCAACTCTAGAAAGCCCCTGATTCTCCCTTAGAATTCACTGATTTCATTCTACAGTCTTTCCTGCTAACCCTAGAGTGAGTTCAGATCCTTTCTCAGTGCAGGACTGCAAGTAGTCACCTTCCATCCCAGGAAGTTGACATGGAGTCAGCCCAAGACATGAAACTTATCTGGAATCTGGTGTTCAGGTCTGGAGGTCTGTTTCAAGAGGGTCACGGGTATCCTCTGTGAACCCCATGGGGAAAGCCCTCCCTGTAAGTGCAGGGAGACCCGGGAGAGGGTGGGAAGGCACAGAGGGACACCTCCAAGTATTTAAAATGCTAGAGAAGGGGCGCCTGGGTGGCGCAGTCGGTTAAGCGTCCGACTTCAGCCAGGTCACGATCTCACGGTCCGTGAGTTCGAGCCCCGCGTCGGGCTCTGGGCTGATGGCTCAGAGCCTGGAGCCTGTTTCCGATTCTGTGTCTCCCTCTCTCTCTGCCCCTCGCCCGTTCATGCTCTGTCTCTCTCTGTCCCAAAAATAAATAAACGTTGAAAAAAAAAATAAAAAAAAAATAAAAAATAAAATAAAATGCTAGAGAAAGAGCTGGACGTTTCCTTGCTACTGCTAAAAGGCAGAACAAGGACTAATGGAGAGACGTTAATAAGGGCCAGATTCTAGGCAGAATAAAGAAGAACTTCCTGCTGACCAACAGTGTTTTGCTGGAAGGGGCGGCCTTATTAAGTGTGAGCTTTTTGTTACCGGTGGCATTGAAGCTGGAGGTGAGATCTGTATTGTGGATACATTCTCAAAGTCTGAATATCATTCTGTCTCAGCCTCAGGGACAAACAGGGGCACGAGCAACAGTTGGTGTGATATTTTAAGGGCCTGGCACATAAAACCATCATCAAGAAATGAAAGTTTTTGTTAAGTTTCCAGATTATATTGGAATCATATAAAAGTGCCACTTTGGTAGGTATGGAAGGGTTGAAGGCCAGCAATTTTATAGGATTCAGGGTAATTCACACAAAGGCAAGGGAATGGACTAGATTCTTTATTTGTGAGACAGAGACAGACAGACAGAGTGTGAGTGGGGGAGGGGCAGAAAGCGAGGGAGACACAGAATCTGAAGCAGGCTCCAGGCTCTGAGCTGTCAGCACAGAGCCCTACACGGGGCTTGAACTCACAGACCTCGAGACCATGACCTGAGCCAAAGTCAGATGCTCAACCGACTGAGCCATCCAGGTGCCCCTGGACTAGATTCTTTAGACCTATATGACACATAGAGAAAAGGGGTGCCCGATAAACTGTGGACTTCACTGTGCAGGCATTGGGTTGTTCTGGGTTCAATGGAGGCTCCCCGAAATTCCATGTTGAAGTACCTCAGAATGTGACTGTATTCGGAGGTAAGGCCATGAAGGCTGTGATAAGGGTAAAAGGAGGCCCGGGAAGGGGGTCCTAATCTAATTCGACTGGTATCCTCCTAAGAGGAGCAAATTTAGGCACACAAAGAGATACCAGGGCCGCACAAAGACCAGGTGAGGACACAGGGAGAAAGCAGCCCTCTGCGAGTCAAGCAGAGAGGTCTCAGAAAAAACCAAATCTACTGATACCTTGATCTCAGACTTCCAGCCTCTGTGAGACAAAAATTCCTGCTGTTTAAACCACCAGTCTGTAGTATTTGGTAAACCTGGGTATACGGGGGGCAGGTGGGATGAATGTGCACAAGGAGGGTGGTCCAAAGACAAATTTTCAAAGGCTCTCCAAGACCATCCTGACTGATATGGTCTCTGTTGTGAAGGAAAAGAGGAGATGCTAATGATCCGAGAAATTGATAGAAATTCACCTGACATAAAAGGGTGGTAGTAAGTTCAAGGGATCCCTTGACAAAGATTCCAGTGATGTCCAATTAGATTTTAGAGTGAAATGGGATAAAAATCACTTCATCAAGGGTCTTTTCTAAAAAAAAAAATTAATGGTGCAAAAAAAAACCTGAAAAAAATTATTTACCACCTTCAGAGGATGAGCTGCTTTGAGGATGTTAGCGATTGGCAAGGCCACCAACTGGTGTCTTACTGATGGCTCTCAAATATCATTAGGTTACATCTGTAGGATGTGTTCTGAGGCTGCATAAACTATGGCTATTGGCAGATGAAAAGTCTGTTAAACTGCAAATATTTAATGCTATTTTATAATTAGCCTTTCATTAATTAGGACTAATTCCCTCTCCTTGACTTGGAGGTAGAGACGGACGAGCATGGGTTTAACCCCTCTTCTGCCTCTGTGGTCTTGGACGAGCCACCTTACCCTGGTCTCATCTTTCCGACAGGAGTACGTCTGACTCCACACTGCCTACAGGTGTATGACGAGCTGGGGCAGTAAATCGTTCTATGGGATTATTACTATAGTGAGCGGAGTCATACTATGTTCATGGTGAAAAAATAATCTTCATTTAAAACAAATTTTAGTGAGAAAAGGCACCTGTCCAGAGCAGGCCTCTAGACTGCCAGACAGAAAATAGGAATCCTTTCCAGGAGTCCATGTGGCTGTGTGGACAGGGTATGGGTTTTGGAGATGGGCACAAATTGAGTTTAAATACCTGCTCTACCTCCGTGTTCTTGTGGGATCTTAGGTAAGCTGCTCACTTCTCCTCATCTGAAAAATGGGGATATGGACACAGTATATGTAAAGCATTGGCACATGGTAGGTGCGTCACAAAAAGGCTCTCTTAAGCGGATCATAATAATACCTCCTCTGGTGACAAACTTTGAAGGAACCACTTCGTCAGTTACTGGGGCGTGCATTTCACTGATGATTGTTAAACACCTATAGGGTGAGTGACAAAATAACTTTATTTGTGTTCTCCACCCCCAGCTTACTCCAAGAATGTGGCCTGGTCCTTTGTGTGTCCTTGTTTCAAGATTGTGCAGAGCAGGAGGCGGAAATTTCTTGACAACGATGCCTGCTCCTTTATTTTCTGAAAGTCCAAATCCAAGAGAATATGCTGGGAGAGCGGGAGTTGGGGCACCTTTGAGACGGGATCCTCACCCTGACCTGGAGACTGGGAGCCCGGGGATGGGTACATCTGTGAGAAGCAGAAACGCTCGCTCTGGGTGGCCCAGGATTGCTCAGAATCCAGGTCCCTGGACTGGATGGTGATCCCCAGTTGGAAAGCAGAATCCACAGACATCTAAGAGACAGGCAGTTTATAAGAGTGGGCATGACTGCTGTGAAGGAAGCCCACCCTGGTATTGGAGGTTGTGGGGACAGGAGCCAGATAACTTCAGAAACTGAAGTTCCTGCTGGCATGGACTCGGGATCAGGTTCAAGTTGAAAATAAGAAAACAAGTTGAAAATAAGTTGAAATAATAAGTTGAAATAATAAGTTGAAAATAAGAAAATAAGAAAATAAGGAAATGTGACACTTGGAGACATGCATTTGTAAACTGAGTCAGACCTGCCATGGCTGTAAGGCAACAGATAGTCAAAGATGAATTAATTCCTATTGTCTGGAAGCTGACCACCTCTTTGGGAGCTGGAGGAGGTCACACGACACCTATAGGAGTAACTACCATTTGGAGCCCCGCAGGGTCCTGACGTCGTATGAAATGCAGGACTCTGCGGTCACCGGAGGTAGGCAGCTGAATGTTGCAGAAGGCACACGGCCAGGATGATGGATAAATGTTTCTCCCAAAGGGATACGTTGAAATACACCCTCCCCCAATCACTGCGTGCCAACACCACTACTCTGTAATTGCCACGGCTGTGAACTCACCAAACTTTTGCACACCCTCAAGTTCTCTTGGAAATGTGCCTGCTTGATATGAAAGAGCAGTCCGGAAAGGTGATTGAATAGGGAACTATACAGTTAGTGGTTTTCATAAAAGTGCTTGGCAGGCTACCTCCATCGAGTTTGAGGTATCAGAAAGCCCTCGGAGGTCAATCAGCTCCTCCTGTCCCTTCCATCCTCCGCTCCCTCACATTTTACAAGCTCGAATCTGGGTTTAAGAAGTCCTTGAGGCTGCTATTCAGAAAGTCCACTAGGATGGTCAAGGCCGTGGTGTAAACAGTTTAAGGGGACTGGGCCCAAGGAGCATCTCCACCCTTCAACTGCCGTGTGACCCCCCTGCTGCTCTTATCTCTTGTCTGGACAAATATCCGCTTCCTAACTGGAGATTTAGTCTCTGCCCCTTCTGGACCCTGATTAATCGTCTTAAATCATGATCCGAATGAACTGCCAGGGAGTTACTTTCTTGTTTACAAACTTCTAATGATTATTCCATTAAAAAAATCTAAACTTTGTGGTTTGGCGTTCGAGGCTTTCTATGATCTTGTTCCAACAAAGTCTTGCCCTTTCTTTTCTTTTCTTTTTTTCTTTTTTTGAGCTCACCCCCCCCCCCCCCCCACCCCCCAGCTCTCTATTCATACACTTTATTCTGCTAGGGTGGCTTTCCTGCTACTCCCCATGCTTTCCTCTTCCATGCTTTTACTAATATTCTTGCTGCCTGGAATACCCCTCCTATCAATCCCTCTGCATCCTTCAAGGCCAAATTACATAGTAGCTCCTCTGAGGAGTCTTCGCTGGGTGAGGGATACAGAGCCCTCGATGGGGCTGAGTTTGAGAGTGTATTCTGCCCCTTACTTCCTAGGACATCTCAGGCAGGCTACCGAATTTCTCTATGGCTCCGTTTTCTCATCTGTGAGATGTACAAGCCCACACCCACCGTGAAGCCTTACGAAGGGCACATGGGCCGGTCATACTGTGGACTACTAGGCCTAGTCACTTGTACATGGTAAACATCAAAGAATGTTACACATTACTTTGATTATTCCAGGGAGCTGAAGGCTCCTTTGCTGTGAGCTCCCACTCCCTGTGAGCTCCCATAGTCCTTCTTGTAAATCTAGTTTTGCGTTTACAAAATTTTTTATGTTTATTTATTTTCGAGAGAGAGAGAAAGACAGAGGTGAATGGGAGAGGGGCAGAGAGAGACACACACACAGAATCTGAAGCTGGCTCCAGGCTTTGAGCTGTCAGCAGAGAGCCCGACTCGGGACTCAAACTCACAAACTGTGAGATCATGACCGGAGCCGAAGTCAGCTGCTTAACTGACTGAGCCACCCAGGCGCCCCATACTTTTGCATTTTAGATATTGGAACCCACGTGTTATTGTCCCCATGAGATCGGTAACTCCTTGAAGGTGGGATCATGTTTTGGTTAGCTTGTGTCCTGTGCGTTGCCCCCTGTGAGGTACACCCTCAAACCACAGGCAAAAGCTGACCTTTTAGGTGTAACATTTGGGTATGACAACAATTTTCTTGGATGTCCATTTTCTCTTCCCTCTAAAAGGTGACCATATTAAAAAAAAAAAAAGTCGATTTCTTTAGATATGAGAATCCCAGTTGTGGGGCTTTTGTTTCACACAAACATGGAAGACAGTGTGTGAAGAGGCCGGTAGAGTAACCTCGGGAAATGCATGCTCTTGAAGGCCCGGTGGCCTCAACCAACTGGATCAACTCAGCCTCACCATTTTCCAGCAGGCATTCCGTATTCCATGTTTTGTGCAATACGCCTTGCGGGGTGGGGGTGGGGGACATGGTTTTAAGTTCTAATGAAAACATTAGATTCTTTTTTTTTAACTTGATTTTTTTATTTTTTATTTTTGTTAATATGAAATTTATTGTCAAATTGGTTTCCATACAACACCCAGTGCTCATCCCAACAGGTGCCCTCCCCCATGCCCATCACCCACTTTCCCCTCCCTCCCACCCCCTATCAACCCTCAGTTTATTCTCAGTCCTTAAGAGTCTCTTATGGAAAACATTAGATTCTAATGACCCGCTCAAGGAAAGACAGAGGGGGCAGTAGGAAACTGAAATGTATGTGAAGTCCTGCAGTAAAGAAACCAGGTCTTAACAGCTAACAAGAGTAGCTAACATTCACTGAGCTCCTATATGAGGATAATTCCTTTGAATTCTTTAACTTAATCTTCCAAATGCCTTAGCCCCTTTGAGAATGGATGTAATTATGATCCTCACTTAACAGATGAAGAAACTGATGCTCGAATGGTCCAAGTTCTCACGGCAGTTAAGAGTTAGGGCTGGGATTTGAATCAGACCTTGGTCACCCCAGCACCCGAGTTCTGGTCCACTGTGGTGCACGGCTTTCCACATCCTTGGATTTGCCTGACCACGAAATGCTTTTGGTTATCCTCTTATGAACAGCCCATGAAAGTGTCGTTCCTTGGGATGAACTTTGGGAAACAGAGCCTCGCCTTCCCAAGCTACTTGGCTCACGGGAGGAGCCACGAACTTTCCACTTCTGCACCTTTGCTCACTGACCTCTGCCTGCATGCTTGCCCCCCTTGTCTCCTGATCTTTTACTCCTCCTCCAAGGTCTAGTTCAAATGCAACTCTATGAGGAGGTTTCTTTGATGTCAGCGGGTTGATGTGCAAAGCCCTTCTGTGTTCTCCAAGTGTGGTCTGTCTGTCTAGGGCCATGTTCAAAGAGCCTTGGTAAAGTTTCTGGCACAGAGTGGACGCTCAGAGCTTGGTGAATCATGATCTTCCCCGCTACTCTGGGGGGTTGATTCCTCAGCCTGGGGCTCTTCAGACATGGGGGTGTGATTGTAGCTGCCAACCTGGGCTGAGTCTGGTTCCGAACCTTCCCAGGTTCGGACAGCATGGTTCTTGAGCTGCTTGGGAGTTCACTAGTTAACAGCGTCCTCCCTCTGTGCCTCGCAGATGTTGCCTCTCCCCAGCGTCTCCGAGGTGAGGAGCACGATTAGGTCACCTCGGCCTCTCATCAGTGTCCTTCTGGGGACAACCCTGACCTGTCCTTTCCAGGGTGTTGTCCAGGTTTCATTACAAAGCCCCCCAGTGGCTGTGCCTCAGATGAGTCAGCTGGCCTGGGGCTTCATTAGCAACGCTAATTGCCTTTTTGTTTTTGTCTTCTTTGGGCCTTCTCAGGCCCAGAGGTGGGGCCTGGCGGGCCTGGCTTCCAGAAATGCCGCCAGCCTCCACGAGAGCCCATGATAGGAAGTCCGCGCCCCACTCCCCAGCAGCCACGTCATGCCACACTGCGCATTTCTGGGCCGCACCCTTCCCCAGGGTGCACTCAGGCGCCATGCAACTGCTGGCCATCCCAGCTCCCCGGCTGCCTGTGATGAGGTCATGGGGTGGGGTCCTGGAGACCCCCCCCCCCTCCAAATAGGGTGGGGGCTTCCCCAACTGGCCTGGGACTGGTGGAGAGGAGGAGATGGTAATAATCTTGTTTGTCCAACCCGCTGCTCCCTCTCTTGAGATTGCATGGCCGGTGTGGACAGAAATGGAAGGAGGAAGAGAGAGCCGGGAAGACACGGGGAGGAGGACAGCAGGGTGGCAGGCACGGATCCCTCCCTCCACTAACAGCTGGGGATGGAGAAAGGAGCTGGCAGTTTCCCTTGACCACCTTGCAATGATCTAGCTGCCGTCTCTCTGCTCACAACGTCTTTCTTTTGATCTTAACCTCTTTCTTTTCACTGAGACCACAAAAGGTAGGGGAGGCCACCATAATCCACTTTACATCATCAGAATTTGACACAGAAGTAAAAAAAAAAATATCCCAGAAACAGGGCAGCAGCTGGTCCGGCAAAGCAGGTAGAACCCTTCCCAACCCAAGCACGCTTCCCCGGGGCAGAGCCTCGCCTTCTCACCCAGGCCTGAGGGGATGTCCGTCCAGCTTCTGTACCAGTGGGTTGCGTAGACCGCGCTTGCCTAGAGGCCCCAGACCCCTCCAGCTCGGTCCAACCCACGGGGCTCTGTAACCTCCGCCTGTGAGCACATATGTGTGTGTGGAGGAACGAACGCACAGCTCTGTTCAAATCGCAGCCTGCTGGAAGAATTTGGACTTAGATCTCTGTGGATAGCTAGTTCTTTGCACCTGGAATTCTGCCTCAGAAAGATGGGAAATCTGATAACAGAGACTTTCCCAGGGAAATAGGAATAACACACCACACATTTTTGCACCTTTCTAACTCAAACCACAGCATACTTCCCGTAGGACCAATGCAATAGAAAACCGAGGAGTATCTGAGTCTCTCTGCTCCCTACCTGTATCTGAGGCACAGTCGAGAAGGCACAGCCACCCTACCCAGACACCAGCATTGTCAGTCAACGACAACCGGAATGCACAAACTTGGAATTGGACTTTTTTTTCTCCCAGGACATAATAGCTGTAACATCCTCTCGCGTCGTTACAAAGGAAAAGCCAAGTGATTTATTTAACTTTTAAAACCATATTCTGCAAAACAAGTTTATAAGAAGTCATAGTAACCACACTTAAGAGAATTTTTGGAAAGATATTCAAATCTTCCCTGGGAATGGTTTCTGAGTTAATAGAAAGATCACAGCTCCGGAAGTTGACTTACATACAACCGGACAAAAAAACACGGATCCTCTGACCTGGGCAATAAATGAGCCCATCACCCCACTAGTGAATGTGGGGTGCATCAGGCTGGAAATTCGGAGGACCTGCGCACATTTTCTGAGAGAAATGACATTTTTTTCAAATAGTCAAAGCTATTTCACAGAGGTTTGGGTCAAGCGGAATAGAAGGCAGGAGAAGGCATGATCGCTGAGGTTTTCCAACCTCTTGATTTATCATTTGTTGACGTGCTTTCTACAAGTTCCCCCCTTCTTTACAAGTAGCTGTCTTAAGTTCTTCCAGTATACATTTTTGACGAAGGCCAAACAGTAGGGAAAAAGAGAAAAAGTGCAATGAAAATAGGAGCTTACCTTTTCTAGGCGTTGCCGCTATCAACATTTCCCCCAAGACATGAGGCTTTCTTGCTTTGGTTGTCCCATGAATTTAGAAACCATTAAAAAATTGAAAGCAGGAATATGTGTATATTATTCGAAGCCGCTTCGAAACAATACAAAAAGTAACTCGGTGAAAAATAAAGTGCTCTTCTGAGCACGAGAATGTGTTTGAAGCTTGGAGCTCATGCTGTTGCATGAAGTTTTGCAACTGTCTTTCTCAGTTTAAACAACCTCCTGCTCCTCCCCGCCACTTGCCAACGTCTATAATTTAAAGCAACTGCGATCCTTCCCATAATACTCACATTTCAAAGAGCTTAATATATACGCTCGTTAGGCAGGAGTGGGAGTGGGTGAATTTCTTCCGCAAACTCCAGACTGAGGCAAGCGAGAGGCAAAGGTTTCAGGTATCTGAGCAATTCTGTTTCTCTCTTTTATCCGTAGCTCTTCTCACCGTGGCGCTTGAAGCTGCTTTGCCTTTTCGAGCGGTGCCTTGAGACCAAATGGCA